CACAGTCCTAACTTTGAGTGTGTAATAAATTATTTAAAATAATAAAAAAGAAAAGGTACTGAAACCTATTCTGGTATTTGTCTATGCATCACTCCATGCTAAGTTACAATTTTTTCTGAATGATTAAACACAACCTTGATTCTTATAGCACAATTTCTAAAACTATTAATACTTACAGCAAATACACTCACTGAGTTCACAAAACTAAAAGAACAAACACTGCTTTGCACTCAATTTGCAATTTTGTAACACACACTTTGCACAACTGTAGGCACAATTCACCGCACAGCACTCTTTGTGGTACTGTAAACACAACTCAACGAAGCACTAAACAGATGCTGAAAACAGTACTGGTATTTCGCACAGCAAAAGTGTGTGTGTGTGTGTGTGGGGGGGGGGGGGGCGCAAAACTCAATCTCGCCTAGGGCAACCAAAGGGCTAGAACCGGTCCTGTATATACACTATATTGCCAAAAGTATTTGCTCACCCATCCAAATTATTGGAATCAGGTGTTCCAATCACTTCCATGGCCACAGGTGTATAAATTCAAGCACCTAGGCATGCAGACTGTTTTTACAAACATTTGTGAAAGAATGGGTCGCTCTCAGGAGCTCAGTGAATTCCAGCGTGGAACTGTGATAGGATGCCACCTGTGCAACAAATCCAGTCGTGAAATTTCCTCGCTCCTAAATATTCCACAGTCAACTGTCAGCTGTATTATAAGAAAATGGAAGTGTTTGGGAACGACAGCAACTCAGCCACGAAGTGGTAGGCCACGTAAACTGACGGAGCGGGGTCAGCGGATGCTGACGCGCATAGTGCGAAGAGGTCGCCAACTTTCTGCAGAGTCAATCACTACAGACCTCCAAACTTCATGTAGCTCAAGAACAGTGCGCAGAGAGCTTCATGGAATAGGTTTCCATGGGCGAGCAGCTGCATCCAAGCCATACATCACCAAGTGCAATGCAAAGCGTCGGATGCGGTGGTGTAAAGCACGCCGCCACTGGACTCTAGAGCAGTGGAGACGCGTTCTCTGGAGTGACGAATCGCGCTTCTCCATCTGGCAATCTGATGGACGGGTCTGGGTTTGGCGGTTGCCAGGAGAACGGTACTTGTCTGACTGCATTGTGCCAAGTGTAAAGTTTGGTGGAGGGGGGATTATGGTGTGGGGTTGTTTTTCAGGAGCTGGGCTTGGCCCCTTAGTTCCAGTGAAAGGAACTCTGAATGCTTCAGCATACCAAGACATTTTGGACAATTCCATGCTCCCAACTTTGTGGGAACAGTTTGGAGCTTGCCCCTTCCTCTTCCAACATGACTGTGCACCAGTGCACAAAGCAAGGTCCATAAAGACATGGATGACAGAGTCTGGTGTGGATGAACTTGACTGGCCTGCACAGAGTCCTGACCTCAACCCGATAGAACACCTTTGGGATGAATTAGAGCGGAGACTGAGAGCCAGGCCTTCTCGTCCAACATCAGTGTGCGACCTCACAAATGCGCTTCTGGAAGAATGGTCAAAAATTCCCAAACACACTCCTAAACCTTGTGGACAGCCTTCCCAGAAGAGTTGAAGCTGTTCTAGCTGCAAAGGGTGGACCGACGTCATATTGAACCCTATGGATTAGGAACGGGATGTCACTTAAGCTCATATGTGAGTCAAGGCAGGTGAGCAAATACTTTTGGCAATATAGTGTATATATATATATATATATATATATATATATATATATATATATATATATATATATATATATATATATATATATATATATATATATATACAGGTGCTGGTCATAAAATTAGAATATCATGAAAAAGTAGATTGATTTCAGTAATTCCATTTAAAAAGTGAAACTTGTATATTATATTCATACATTACATACAAACTCATATATTTCAGATGTTTATTTTGTTTAATTTTGATGATTACAAATGACAACAAATGAAAATCTCAAATTCATCATATCAGAAAATTAGAATATTACTGAAGACCAATAAAAGCAAAGGATTTATAGAAATGTTGGCCAACTGAAAAGTATGAACATGAAAAGTATGAGCATGTACAGCACTCAGTATTTAGTTGGGCCTCCTTTGGCCTGTATTACTGCAGCAATGCGGCGTGGCATGGAGTCGATCAGTCTGTGGCACTGCTCAGGTGTTATGATAGCCCAGGTTGCTCTAATAGTGGCTTTTAGCTCTTCTGAATTGTTGGGTCTGGTGTATTGCATCTTCTTCTTCACAATACCCCATAGATTTTCTATGGGGTTAAGGTCAGGAGAGTTTGCTGGCCAATTAAGAACAGGGATACCATGGTCCTTCAACCAGGTACTGGTAGCTTTGGCACTGTGTGCAGGTGCCAAGTCCTGTTGGAAAATGAAATCTGCATCTCCAAAAAGTTGGTCAGCTGCAGGAAGCATGAAGTGCTCTAAAACTTCCTGGTATGTGGCTGCGTTGACCCTGGACCTCAGAAAACACAATGGACCAACACCAGCAGATGACATGGCACCCCAAACCATCACTGACTGTGGAAACTTTACACTGGACTTCAAGCAACGTGGATGAAGTGCCTCTCTTCTTTTCCTCCAGACTCTGGGACCTTGATTTCCAAAGGAAATGCAAAATTTACTTTCATCAGAGAACATGACTTTGGACCAGTCACCAGCAGTCCAGTCCTGTTTCTCTTTAGCCCAGGCAAGACGCTTCTGACGCTGTCTGTGGTTCAAGAGTGGCTTGACACAAGGAATGCGACAGCAGAAACCCATGTCTTTCATACGTCTGTGTGTGGTGGTTCTTGAAGCACTCACTCCAGCTGCAGTCCACTCTTTGTGAATCTCCCCCACATTTTTGAATGGGTTTTGTTTCACAATCCTCTCCAGGGTGCGGTTATCTCTCTTGCTTGTACACTTTTTTCGACCACATCTTTTCCTTCCCTTCGCCTCTCTATTAATGTGCTTGGACACTGAGCTCTGTGAACAGCCAGCCTCTTTAGCGATGACCTTTTGTGTCTTGCCCTCCTTGTGCAAGGTGTCGATGGTCGTCTTTTGGACAACTGTCAAGTCAGCAGTCTTCCCCATGATTGTGTAGCCTATAGAACTAGACTGAAAGACCATTTAAAGGCTTTTGCAGGTGGTTTGAGCTAATTAGCTGATTAGAGTGTGGCACCAGGGGCCATCAATTTTGAACCTTTTCACAATATTCTAATTTTCTGATATGATGAATTTGAGATTTTCATTTGTTGTCATTTGTAATCATCAAAATTAAACAAAATAAACATCTGAAATATATGAGTTTGTATGTAATGTATGAATATAATATACAAGTTTCACTTTTTAAATGGAATTACTGAAATCAATCTACTTTTTCATGATATTCTAATTTTATGACCAGCACCTGTATATATGTATATATATATATATTAGTGCTGTCAATCGATAACATTTTTTTAATCGCGATTAATCGCATCAATGCCTGAGCTAACTCGCGATTAATCGCATTTTAATCGCACATTTTTTTCCTGATTGAAAATCATTTAAATACTCTCGATGACATACAAAAAAATACATACAGGCTAGATTTGTGCCAATGTTCTTTTTTTAAAATGAAAACAGGTCACAGATACTGATTTATGCCAAAAATAACAAATATGTAGCCAAAAAAAGGCCCTGAAAACAGGCTAATGTAAAAGACAGTATGTACAGTTAATACAGTATTTTGAACAAAGACAAGCATTTTACCCTACTGCTATAAAATTTAGTACAGTTAACATTAGATGTTAATTAACAATTGAGATTATAATGAACAATTTTCAATCAATACATCAAAATCAATAGGCCGACGTCACTAGATGGAGGTAGTCTATGCTCTAGAAAGTTACTTTTCAGCCTCTTAACAAAAATGAGAACACACACACACACACACACACACACACAATACCGACCTGTGGCGTACACAGACGGCAAGAGTGCCGTAGCAGATTCCATTTCACCTCAGTAATCTGTTTTCTCAGCGTATTTCAGGTTGCTACTAGTTACCAGACACTCAACTTGTTTGTTGGTGGTGGGGCTTAAAGAAAAGGCACTAGCATCACCCAGTGTATGAGCGTCTTTTTCCCTTGAGGAGGTCCGCTCTCAAAGCCTATGAGAAATGCATACACTGGGGGAAAATAGCCCCGCCTTCCCGCAGGCTGCAGCGGGATGCACTTGGAAAATTGTACCATAAAAACCACATAGCGTTAATCTCACGTTAAAAAAATTATCGCCGTTAAAATGGCCTCGCGTTAACGCGATAATAACGCGATAATTTTGACAGCACTGATATATATATATATATATATATATATATATATATATATATATATATATATATATATATATATATATATATATATATATATATATATATATATATATATATATACCATCCCACTTCTTTCTTTTTTTACAACTCGACTACTGATAAAGCAGTAAAGTGTCGAGGGTAAAATTTCTATGATTGACTCAATCATTGTCACTTAAGCCATGCTTATTCCCTATTTCAAATGTTAAAGAACATAAAATACAGTTAAAGCTTTATAAATGACAGTAAATGTAACTAAAGCCATGTATAATATGTAATTTACTTGTGAACATTCTCAAAACAATGATTTATATGGTGAACAAATCTTTTGAACAAATAATTCTACTGAAATTATCCTAGTTATACAGTACATGGAAAAGAACTGCTGTTTACCATAACTAGAGTAATTGCACTTTTTTTCCATTGAAAGTGTACACAACACCTATTAGCAGTGCTAATAAATAAATGATAACAATATTTGCAACCGCATATCATAGTTTGCAATATTTTGGAGAGTTTTCAACATTTTGCAAACTATGGAAAACCAGCTGTGGCTTGTCTTTGGCGTACAAAAAAAAAACGCAAAAAAAACAACAACAAAACAAACAAGGCTATGCTTCAGATGATCATCTAAACTAATCGTGAACATTTCTGTGTCTGCAAACCTCAGCTATCATCCTCTGGAAGATGTTGCAGCGCCGAATGGTCTGGAACACTTTGTTAGAGATTCCCTGGGAAATGCATTGCAGGCTCTTCTTCACAAAGGTTTTACCCTGAAGAAAAAAAAACTGAGGTCAAACTGAGAAAGGTTTGGATAAAAAAAAACTTTAGCCAGGTGGGTCTACTCACTTCTGTATTAAAGGTAGCAGCAGCATGAAAGAACAGCTCACATATCTCGTGCATCCCATCAGTGTCACAAGTTGAGTTTTCGAGGCATGAAAAGAATCCACAGCCCACAGCTACAGCTCCACTCAAACATCTGGCCACATCAGCTACAGAAACACATTCATTAGGGCAATATAAGCTGTAACAGTCCACTTTAAATTTGTTGTTTGCTCTATAGTACCACATTATTACTCAATATTCTAAATATGTAATATTATCAGGTAAAGGTGGGTGTAATTATGAATAAACAAAACCAATGAAATGAGAAACTGGCACAAGCTGGTTGTCAAGCTTCATCTGCCTGTTTTTTAATTTTACCAAGCATTTATAAAAATTACTTAACAATTTTATTAATTTTCTGTACCAGCTGCTGTTTGTCATGCTTTGTGTTGTGTTTTTTTTCTCAATTTGTGATGGTTATTTCTTGTTTTTAAAGGAATAGTACACCCAAAACATGATTAGCCTTCATTTTCTACTCACCTCCATGCTGAACAACACTCTGGAGTACTTTTTTGATATCTCAAATGCATCTGGAGATCTGGGAGGCTTCTTGCTGTCTGCTGACATTCAAATAATGGAGGTCCATGGCGCCCGAGACAGAAAGGTCCATAAAAGTCCACAAAAACGTGTCAATATTCCTCCATACTGCTCGTCCAATGTAATCCAAGTGTCCTGAGTGGGTAGCATCCAGAATTTACTCGAAACGAAGTAATTTAGAATGTTTTTAGAGCATAAACAGTAGTGTATAGGATTTCCTAATAGCGCCCCCATGCGCGCTCACGATTCTACGGAAGCCGGCAGACCAAACCGGAAGGAAGTGCGCATTCAGCGTCTGGTCTGCCGATAATGCAAGCGTAGAAGAAGAAATGTGCTGTTTACCTGTGCAAAGAAAGAAACAACGAAAGAAAAATGTCTGAGGACTTCAGTGTTGAGGAAGAGCATGAGTTCTTTGCCGAGCTGAATGCGCTGGTTTGGTCTGCCGGCTTCCGTAGAATCGTGAGCGCGCATGGGGGCGCTATTAGGAAATCCTATACACTACTGTTTAGGCTCTAAAACGTTCTAAATGACTTCGTTTCGAGTAAATTCTGGATGCTACCCACTCAGGACACTTGGATTACATTGGACGAGCAGTATGGAGGAATATTGACAAGTTTTTGTGGACTTTTGTGGACCTTTCTGTCTCGGGCGCCATAGACCTCCATTATTTGAATGTCAGCAGACAGCAAGAAGTCTCCCAGATCTCCAGATGCATTTGAGATATCAAAAAAGTACTCCAGAGTGTTGTTCAGCATGGAGGTGAGTAGAAAATGAAGGCTAATCATGTTTTGGGTGTACTATTCCTTTAAGAAGAATATATTTTTATCTTTAGATCATAGCAAATACAGGTTCAAATAAAAAACACTTAATGAACAAATTTAAAGAAGTGCAGTGAAAACAAACCTTTGTTCAATATAAATGACAAAAGACATGAAAAAATGTTGAAAAAGGATGAACTAAGGAACGCTCTTTAAAGTTTTGTGGGGGACTTGTTTAATAGATATTTTAATTAAGCCCTTATAAGGATTGTTAAACAATTTATCATTCGTCCTCTTCACACAACTTCCACAGTTTAAATCTACTCCATTCTGCTGCACTTTGCCTGTCGTACATTCTCCCTGTTTAGCCTCCAAAGTTAAACCCACTCACTCACCCATCTGCCAGGCATCTGGCTCAGATCTACCATAATCATCCCCCTATCTCCGCTGTTTGCTGTCTTTGCTCCAGAGCTGGTATTGCAAGGAACTCTGATCCCACTGATCCTGACTGAGCTTCTGAGGTGTATTTGTGAGATGGGAAGCCAGGCAATGTGCACCAGTGCAGGATATGGTCCTCTAACATTGCCCCACTCTGGTGCAGTCTCTGCCAGGTGTGTGGGAAGGGATAGCGGTAGATCTGTTCCAGATGCTTGGCAGATGTGAACCAGATCTGGGCCAAGGAGTTGGGTGGCTACGTCTAGCTCTGAAGGCTAACCAGGGAGACTGGATCCAGGGCAGAGTGCAGCAGAGCGGGGGAGAGGTCAACTCTGAAGGAAGAGGATAAATGATAAAATAATACTTATAAGGGCTAAATAAAAGCAGCTTTTGTGCAAAATGATGCCCTGCAGATAATGGATAAATTATTAACTAGAACTAGAAGTAACTTATTTAACTTATTCAATGTATCCCCACCAATTTAGTGACCTAGGCTAGGTTAACAGCAGAGCTATAAATGATCAATCAAAGAACTATCTCTGTCTATTCAAACTATTACCAAAAGAGGGTGGATCTGGCCTGAGTGATAAACCATTCGTATGTGAATCACAAACAACTGCAAGTTAAACAAAGATGTCTTTACTCTAATAATTCAGGATTACAGAAATCTAACATCTATGCAAAACACTACACGCTATTAGAAAATAAACACAAGGTAGATTAAGGGCCTAGTTTTGAAAGAAAAAGAATAAAACCCTAAGACTCCATATTACTGGCTAATGAGATTGTCCAAGATAGGCCAGATGGTAATACATTCAAAGATGTCCATTTGGAATAGCAACAGATATGATAATAACAACAGTGCAATTAAAACAATGTAAATACATTCAGCTTAAATGATAAATGGTTAAAAATGCATTAAAAACACCAGCATGTTACAACCATCCTCAAACAGCAGCAGCAGAAGTTCATTCAGTAAGCGGGAGGGGCAACAGGGCAGTGAGTGTGTGTGCGTGTGTGTGTGCGTGTGTGTGTGTGTGTAACCACTCTTTTCATACGATGAAAGGGATGATGGGAGGCAGCGTGTAACAATAGATGGTTGTCAACCACGTGGCCACAGACAGTTAAATGTGAGCAAATTCTCTATGAACTAACCTTAAAGCAGAAAGTAGGATAGAAAGAAAAGAAGAAAGAAACCTCACTTGCAGCTATTCACATCAAATTTCTTTCAACCTTTAAACCAGAGTTCTTATAACCAGCATAGATTAAACATCAGCATTAGATTGAGCTTCGGCCTCAGAGTGGGTCCGTCGGCTCCCAAAAGTAAGGGCGTCCCCCTGCAGGTAGGCCGTGATTGGTATCGAGGTCCTCACAAAGGAGGGGGGGGGGGGGGGGGGGGGGGGGGGGGGGGGGGGGGGCTACACAGCATTTAATTTAGCTTCTGAGATCCCCGTCTCACAAAGTTCAGCGGGATCTATGCACGATGGGTCACTGCAATGCGTAATTTTTGACGCAGGAAAACGAAAGCTACTTCCAGCTAGCATTCTTTAGCATTCCATGTGCCTCTCCTCACAGGTGGCAAAACTGAGGGAAAGAGACCGATTTCCTTTCCACGCTTGGCTGTAATCCTTAAAGGGATAGTTCGGTATTTTTGACATGAATCTGTATGGCATCCCCATCACCAGTGTCATGCAATCACACTGACTTACCCCTGGCAGCGTCCTGTGAGCAGAGTTCTCGTCCAGTTTTGCTCAAGCCGAAAGTAGTCCGGCAGGTTTACTAGACCCAGCGAAATAAAACGTTTCTCTTCCCAAAACATTATGTGTTCAAAAGAGCGATATTTTTGCATCCCAAAAACATTGTAGTGGAAAAAGTCACACGTCGTTATCAATTGGTCCTATTTTCTCTCTGTTCGTATCAGTGCGCGCCGTCATTCAGACAGCGAGCTCAACAACAGCCAGATGCATGTCTCCCTCCGCCTAGCTCCTAGCTAGGCGGAGGGAGACATGCATCTGGCTGTTGTCAGGTTAGTAGGCCCTAGCTGTCTGAATGACGGCGCGCACTGATACGAACAGAGAGAAAATAGGACCAATTGATAACGACGTGTGACTTTTTCCACTACAATGTTTTTGGGATGCAAAAATATCGCTCTTTTTAACACATAGTGTTTTGGGAAGAGAAACGTTTTATTTCGCTGGGTCTAGCAAACCTGCCGGACTACTTTCGGCTTGACCAAAACTGGACGAGAACTCTGCTTACAGGACGCTGCCAGGGGTAAGTCAGTGTGATTGCATGACACTGGTGATGGGGATGCCATACAGATTCATGTCAAAAATACCGAACTATCCCTTTAAAGAGCATCCCTTACATTCCCCAACATTATTTCCCTTCCTTTTTCAGTCCCGGTTCGCCATCGTTCAGAGCAGCACTGGACCAATCTCTATCTGTTCTCAATAAACCTGTTAAACCTTCCCCTGGTCTCTGATTGGTTTTCTGCATGTGGGTCAGATCTTTGAATAAAATCATGACAACTAGATGATTATTAAAATAAATAACTATTCATTTCATTAATTTTTTCAGCTGTAATATATATATGAACTAACCTAACATATATATATATATATATATATATATATATATATATATATATATATATATATATATATATATATATATATATATATATATATATATATAGGTTTTACTGTACTTCTTGCGGCAAACAGCATGACAGACCAAGATGTCTACTGCTAGTACTAGTCTGCTGACTCATCTGGTGGTATTTCTGATGCAGTTTTGCAGATCGCTTGACAGAGTTTTAAAAAACAGGGAAAAAGGGAAAATAATAATAATGTTTTTGTGTGAACTGTGCTCATCAGAAACTATCAAACATGAATGAGGAATGTGAATGTTCCTGAAGTTCTGTTATTCTGCTAAATAAAGAGTTCCCTGCACATCCAGTATGCCTTGACTGCATTGACTATTTTAAATTTCTTTCTATGTATTATGATCTGACATTTAAAGGGTGAAATACAAGGCTCTATTGCAGAGAGCTGTGGCTTAATTTACCAAAATGAACTTGAATTAGTTTATTTATTTTCATGATCTGCCCTCATTGTCACTTTAATTGTTCATTTCACTCACCTGCCTAACGCTGCCCAATCTGTAATAACTCCTCATCCTATCCACCGGAGTTTCTGCTTTACATTCGGTTCAGCCCAATTTGTCGGGGCCAGATCATTTTCGTGTTTTGTGGTCTGTTTAGTTAGTTTTAGTTTATTTCCAATGTTCAATCTCCTGGTTGCTAGAGGCCAGCGGATTGAGAGGGTTTTCATGTCTGCCTTGTCTTCTGATCGTGTCCTGGTCCTTCTACATGGAGCCCTCACGGTTTTGGCTCGGAATGCAGAGAGGGTACGTTTTATTCCTATAAGCCTGGAAAAAAAGAGCGGAGATCCATGTGGAAAAAGGGTCCCAGCGTTCTTGCGCACCTCGCTCTTCTAGCTACTCAAACTTCTTGAGTTGTTTTCTGCACTTTCGGTAATAAAAACAAAACAAGCCGGCCTCCTGTCTGCGGCACTGTCTGCAGTCACCTACAATTTAGGAGAGGTGCAGCGGAGTGTCTGCGGAGGGGGCGGGGATGTCGACACTCTGGAGCCGGGGTATTGCACTGCACTCATTGCACTGACTTTGTGCAGTATTTTTTTATGCAAGGCCTTCCAGAATCTATAATGCGGGGGCGTTATTATTTTTTCAGTGAATGAGGTTTTAATAGGCCTAGGTGGAGTACAACTTTTCTACTTCTGTTATTTGCTGTTTTTTCCCAAATAAAATGCCTAAAGATATTACAGCTTATATTGATTTATTTCAAATTTGAAACATTGTCTAGCTTGTAAGGTAAAAAAAAAAAATAAAAAATGAACCAATTAATCGATCGAATCGTATCGTATCGTGGTGTATTCTTGAGTATCGAAAATAATGGAAATGTTGGGTCAAGAAATCGATTCTGAATCGAATCGCCATGATGGGTCTGATTTACACCCCTAGTAGGATTTATAGCTTACCACAGTAAGTATTAGGGCCTTGCTAGAGACTTCTTTTTCTTCTATTTTGAGAACAAAGTAGTAAAATTACAAGAATAAAGTCACAAAATTACAAGAATAAAGTCATAAAATTATGAAAATAAAGTTGTAAAATTATGACAATAAAGTCGTAAAATAACGAGAATAAAGACATAAAATTATGAAAATAAAGTCGTAAATTTAACGCAAATAAAGTCGTAATATTATGAGAAAAAAGTCACGAGAATAGTCAAAAAATTACAAGAATAAAGTCCTAAAATTATAAAAAAAAAACAGTTGTATTTTATGACAGCTCCTACAAGAAGCACTTTCTTCACTAAAATGAGGAATGTCAAGCATCATGTGAAGTTATACTTTGGCTCTGGTTTGACAAATAAGGAAATCTATTAGCACCAGGATCAAATTGGGCAGAATGTCAAAGTGGACTCAGGTTGCTGAATGGTGGAGCTGGTCGGCCATAATATGCTGGTCGGAACTCAAAGCTTTGTTTCTGAAATGGGTTGTTTTATGATGACTTCATTCTTGTAAAATTACAACTTTATTCACGCAATGTGATGACATTATTCTCATAATGTTACGACTTTATTCTGGTAATATTGCAACTTTATTCGCGTAATGTTATGACTTCATTCTCGTAATATAACAACTTTATTCTCGTAATGATATGACTTTATTATCATAATGTTACAACTTTATTCTGGAAATAGAAGGAAAAAAAATCTCTAGACTGACCCTAATACTCCGTCGTAATACTTCTACTTGAGTAATAAACATTGATACTTGGACACAGGGTTTTCAAAGGACTGAGTAATCTTTAATTTAATCCTTTTTATGCTCTTAGAAATAATTTCTATCTGTTCTCAATAACAGAGTAGGAAAAGAAGTGGGAGCCGTGTTGCACAACTGAGCAAGAAGTACATTAGAGTGTCTAGTTTGAGAAACAGACGTCTCACAGTTCCCCAACTGGCATCTTCATTAAATAGTACCCGCAAAACACCAGTGTCGACATCTACAGTGAAGAGGCGGCTGCGGGATTCTGGGCTTCAGGGCAGAGTGGCAAAGAAAAAGCCATATCTGAGACTGGCCAATAAAAGAAAAAGATTAAGATGGGCAAAAGAACACAGATACTGGACAGAGAAAGACTGGAAAAAAAGTGTTGTGGATGGATGAATCCAAGTTTCAGGTTTTAGGATCACAAAGAAGAACATTTGAGAGACGCAGAACAAATGAAAAGATGCTGGACGAATGCCTGACGCCATCTGTTAAGCATGGTGGAGGTAATGTGATGGTCTGGGGTTGCTTTGGTGCTGGTAAGGTGGGAGATTTGTACAGGGTAAAAGGATTCTGAATAAGGAAGGCTATCACTCCATTTTGCAATGCCATGCCATACCCAGTGGACAGCGCTTGATTGGAGCCAATTTAATCCTACAACAGGACAATGACCCTAAACACACCTCCAAATTGTGCAAGAACTATTTAGAGCAGAAGCAGGCAGCTGGTATTCTATGGGTAATGGAGTGGCCAGCGCAGTCCCCAGATCTGAACCCCTTTGAGCTGTTGTGGGAGCAGCTTGACTGTATGGTATGCAAGAAGTGCCCATCCAACCAATCCAACTTGTGGGAGCTTCTGGAAGCGTGGGGTGCAATTTCTCCAGATTATCTCAACAAATTAACCGCTAGAATGCTGTAATTGCTGCAAATGGAGGATTCTTTGACGAAAGGAAAGTTTGATGTAAAAAAAAATCTTATTTCAAATACAAATCATTATTTCTAACCTTACAATGTCTTGACTCTATTTTCTACGGAGCCCCTCTGATGACATGGTCAAAAAAAAAATTTAATTTTGGCCACGAAGTAGTATTTCGTGGCCACGCAATAAGTTTAACGTGCGCACGAAATACTATTTCGTGGTCACGCAATAAGTTTAACGTGCGCACGAAATACTTATTAATAATAATATCATTCCTGGACAACTGGGTAAGCAAATCGAGCGCGCCTTCTCCAAGGTCTAAGGCGCGCTCGATTTGCTTACCCAGTCGGTCTCCGCCAGTCACGTGACATTTGTTGCTAAGACGCCATTTGAGGTGGAAAAGGCGTAGGGTAAACAACCGCAGCATAGCTAAACGAAGGACTAACCCCTTGCTCACACAGACTCCGGTGCGGTTACCGAGCCGACGGAGACCGCAACTGGCCCTTTTACATACAGTAACAGCCTGTCCAAGATAAGTCATTACAGTTAACATAAGCCTGAAAACAGGGGCGGATTTATTGATATTCGTGCGAACGTTAAACTTATTGCGTGGCCACGAAGTAGTATTTCGTGCGCACGTTATACTTATTGCGTGGCCGCGAAGTAGTATTTCGTGCGCACGTTATACTTATTGCGTGGCCGCGAAATACTACTTCGTGCGCACGGAATACTACTTCGTGGCCACAACAAAAAACATTTTTTGTCCATGTCATCAGAGGGGCTCTGTAATTTTCTATTCATTTCACAACGTATGGTGGTAAGTAAGTGTGACTTTTCAGGAAAACACAAAATTGTACACAGTAGTGTATATATAGTGCTGTAAAACTAATAAATGAATAAAAAGAAGATACAGCTTTACGATCAACCGGAAACACGCAGAACCAGTTATATCTGATATAATTTATCAGATGAAATTGTGCTTATAAAACTTTTTAAATAAAGATTTTTAATGCCACGATAATTACATTTAATGAATTTTAATGCCAATTAAATAAAAAATTAAAAAAGCCTTAATTTAAAAATAATAATTTAATTACTTTTAATTATTTTTAATGATCCGCTGAACACTTCCAGTTATTTACAGCTAAAGGTTATAATTATCTTGTTTGGACAATAATAAAAGGACTGCAGCAAAAATGTTGTAAGTAAGGTTCAAAAGAAAAAGGGGAAAAAAAATAGTAATTGGCTCAGGCTAGAGACTTACTTGGGCTGTTGGCAGAGAAGCGTGCACGGCGGGGTGCGGCCTCCTCCGGCAGCATCTGGAAGCCGGAGGTTAAGCAGAGTGAGAGGAGGAAGAGCAGGGCCAAGCTGCGCAGCATCTTCTCTACGGGGCTGATGAATTTAAAGATGTACTTTCCCCTCCCGTGATAGCAAGTGTGCGTTGAGGCTATGACTTACCAGCGAAAATTTATATAGAGCTGGTACTGAAGCAACCAATAAGAGCGTGCCGTTTCCACAGGGGGCAGGATCATGGTTTATTCATGAGTGTAATTAACTTCCACAGCTAAGTGAATATTTCCACAAAAATAAACAGTTACTGAGATTAACCTTTGTCGGTGTTTGCTCTTCACTTAATGAACATGTCCTCAGCAATAAAAATCTTGAAAAATAAAATGAAAACCCTGTATCACATTTAAACAGAATGTGTATCTTTTCCCCGCTACGCTAAGCGGAACCTTGGATCTTTATCTTTATTTATCACTCTTTTCATATAAGCCAGAGGATCTGATTCTAGTCACGTTCTTTGCGTTTCCTGTAAGGTTACGCCTACTACACAAGAGCAACCATAGGATGTGACGGACAGTGGAAAGAAGGAGACCTGTGGACCCAGAACTTCATGGAAAAGTTAACTTTCAAAACAGCTCTTATGGAAAAATACAGTCCTCGAATGGAATGCCTAAATTAAATTGTCAAACAGCTAAATTAAAAAAGCTGAATCAAATGTAAAGTAAATAACTAAAGGGATTAAATGAAAGCTTTGGTAAGAAAAATTTTGCAACATGTTAGCAGTTGACTGTGGCAGTATTTGAAAATTATGGTGTACTAGGGCTAGATAAAAAAAAATGTAATTGTAATTTTGCCCTGACAATATGTTCTGATATCAATATGCACCTGCACACATATAGCTATTACATCAGAACTTTTAAGTTATGCATTTCTCAGATCTTTGTTGTTAATTAGACTAACAATAAAACTTATGTTTTCAAATTCCAATATTAAGTTATAAAGGCTACACAACTCGAAGGTTCTATACAAATAAAATGGTTGAGTAATTTTTCCAAAGATGAAAGTATATCCCTAATAATTAACAGTTTTTGCAAAATTTTACTTAAAATTTTGATATTATGCAAAAGGTCACAAATGCTGTCTGTGTAGTCAAAAAGAAAAACAATGTAATGCTGGGAACCTAACTTTAAATACTTGCTTAATGAAATATGCTCTGTCCTTAAAAATATACTATTTTAGTTTAATCACAAAGTATTGAAGATGTAACGTTGACTCTTTTCACTGTTCTTGTAGGGAAATTCACACATTTTGCTTGGCTTCATTTGAACCCTTTATCTTTACTGTACCAACTCCATCAGCCTGATATCATAGTGCCTACTGGCCATAGCTGTAAAGGCTCAAGTTTGAGCAGTTATTTATTTAAGCATACTTTCCCACCATTTTCCCATATTAATAATCTGCTGTAAATCTGCCATATATTATTAGCACTGCCCATATATACATTAGTAGCCCGATTTACACTACCCTCTGAAAACCAATCTGTGCTGAGTTCCGACTGAGCTTGGATCAATTGAGCATGCCGAGCTCGGTTCTTTATGACCATTTACACATCATGCTAGCACGTTCCTCGTCTCCTAGTGACCATCTACGGTACTACTGCTCTCTAGAGGGAATCAAGCAAATCAACATGGCGGTGCCCATAACATTCAGGAAGTTTGGTTATGATTGTGTTATTTCGTTGTTTGCGGAGAGTCAGGTGAAGAAGGCAGCCTTTGGGGAATTTACATGACAGAGTCGGGAAGCGAAAAGGACAAATGATAGTCTAATCATGGCAAACAGACACAGGAAACAATGACAGGAGTTGATGTTCATCACACTGTAAGCAGAATCATTACTGTAGGCACGATAGGGAAGCTAGTACTTTTATGAATCTCTGAATTATCATGATTAAGGAGGCTGATGCGGTCTATCCATGCACTCTTTGTTATCTGAGAACCGAGCCAAAACTGAACTGCACTATATCTGTGTTAACTGCGTCACAAACGCAGACAACCTGGTTTCTGAGCATAAGCAAGCCTTAACCCCTAGAACCCTACGGACCCACCGGTGGGTACAGCTGCTACGTGACCTCGTAATTCATCTGAACTCATCTGATTGAGTCCAAATTTGGTATATTTTTCCACAACATTTAGATTTAAAAGTCTGTACTACTTTTTTGTGCTATAAATAATATTTTGGTAGTGTTTTGCAATGTTTATTTCAAAGAAAATTTTGGCGAGGTTCAAAAAATGCAAAATATTTTGTATTTTGTCCCTAATATTTCAGGCAGGGTCAAAGCTACAATGGTGCTGACACCAGAAAACCATTCTATGACATCTTACCTTTACAGAGGTACCAAAAGTTTCTTCTTAAATCTAATAGCAGTGAGGCTATAAGTGATTTACTTTTGTGTGTTTTTGTCAGGCAGAAATTTATTTATACCCCCTGAGGGTGTAAGCCTGTAACAGCATATGTATAGAAAACTGTTCAAGATAGCCTGACCATTTTGGAAGATGTAAAGGTAAGAGAAAGGTAAAAGCAAGGTTTTCCATCTTTATGAACATTTACTGCCCACTTACTATCCTACATGTCTGTAAAGTTGTTTGCAATCTGAATTACTTCTTTTTAGTTTATTTACTTTTCTTTCTTGGATCTGTACATCAGGACCCCTCAGGCCCTCTTTGGTCCACTGACTTCTTACACTGTATCTTTTAGAAACAGATTAATTGCTACTTTTTCCTGTGTGGGAGATTAGGAAAACTGTGTGTGTCTTATCTGAGGGACCGGGGCTAGTGAAGTGTGAGACTACATGATGGAGTAGATTACATTTCCAACTCAGCCTGGTTGACCAGAGGAAGTTGTGGGCCTTTTTAAATCTGGAGGTCACCAGGCAATGATAACTATCACCCACAGGTCACACTTTCCTCCATCCCCTCTCCTCTGCCCTGTGGAAAAACACCATGTTGCCTTTTTTTTTTTTTTAGACTAACAGTGTTTTTAATTTAGATTAATCCTATTTTCAGTGCTAGAAAAAACATTCCCTTTGTAGATTTTATTTTTGCTTTTCTCATCAATTATTAATGATTAATTAAATAATTGTATTTATTTATTCAATGTTATTTATTCACTGTTTGGAAATGTAGCACCTAATATTGTAGAGCTCTCACAGGTGGACTATTATGGCTGCTGCTATTATTACTTTTCTTTTTGGGGAGCAGAAAGGCAATTCAGGGTTTTTTTTTCCACCTGTGAACCAAAAGACCTCGCATAGGAATGTGAGGCTCTCTCTAAGACTGAGAGGAAGGTTGTAGGTGCCACCAGAAGGCATTTAATTTTACTGAGACGTTGGTAATCTAGAATGGGATCCCCCCCAGTTATCCAGGTTGGCACCATAGGATTGGTGTGTATCGAGCAGAGTTAAATTGCATATCGGGCAGAGTTAAATTACCTGTAGATAATGGGAAAAGTTTGGCAGTTCTATCGTAGTAGAACAAAAGGCAAGGTTTCCGGGGAATTGTCAACTGCCCAAGGAGAAATTTTTGATCAATTGCTAAGAAAATAAGGTTCTTTTAATGTTGCAATAAACAAAAATGTTAAAGACAAAATAAAAGATAACTTTTCTTTTTGGGGAGCAGAAAGGCAGTTCAGGTTTTGTTCCACCTGTGAACCAAAAAACCTCGCATAGGAACGTGAGGCTTTCTCTAAGAGTGAGAGGAAGGTTGTAGGTGCCACCAGAAGGCATTTCATTTTACTGAGACGTTGGTAATCTAGAATGGGATCCCCCCCCCCCCCCAGTTATCCAGGTTGGCACCATAGGATTGGTTTGGTGTATCGGGCAGAGTTAAATTACCTGTAGATAATGGGAAAAGTTTGGCAGTTCTATCGTAGTAGAACAAAAGGCAAGGTTTCCAGGGAATTGACAACTGCCCAAGGAGAAATTTTTGATCAAATGCTAACCCAACTGTTTTTAATATTCTTTTTTGTTTCTGCATTTTTTTATTTTATTTTATTCATTTTTTATTTTTTGCTACTTGCTTTGATTCTGTTTTATCTTCCTGTATTTTAATCATGTAAAGCACTTTGCATTGTCTTTGTACTGAATTGTGCTATACAAATAAATTTGCCTTGCCTTATTAGATTCAGGTTGATAATTGTGTACAAATCTTTTTAGAATCGGCTTTGTGAAGAAAATAAATGCAATGGACATATATAAAGACATAGATTTATCTCATTTAATAAAACTATTTAGGAAATCAAATAGATTAAAAAAAAATCATAGGAGTAAATCACAGTAATTGAATTCAAGTACTTTATTAAGCCCAGTAGCCCACGCTTCAATATAGGTAAACTAAGGTTCATTTACTGGAATGTGACTGGAACTGGCACCAGGGAAAAAAGGGTAAACATTTTTTAACCTGCTCTCAAGAATACAGGTAGATATTGTCTTATGACAAGAGACTCATAATCAGTTGAAATAGCAAATGATTTTAAATCCCCTGAATTCCATCTTGTTCTCTGCCTGCTATAACTCCGAGCAAAGAGAAGTAGCTATCCTAATTCACAAAAATATAAAATTCACAGTATTAGACCCATGTACACAGCAAATTCAAAAGTGTTAATATGGTGTTAGTAGACTTTCTTCAAAGGCAGTGTTAATTTAGCACTTAATAGAGTTATATTAAACAAATATAACTCTGAGGTGTCACATATTATGAGTTAAAACAGAGTGTTAAATAAATAGTGTTACATACTAAATCTGGAGGTGTTAAAATGGAAAAAAATAACACTTCGTCTATCAACTCTGAACTCCTACAGTGGATTTGACACCCAAAGAGTACATTCACAGACTCCGCCTCCAATGCTACAGGTACCGAACGAAGCTGAGGAAAACTTCAGTCTCCATTTAGTGTTATTCAGACCCGTTTACCCAGCCTGGTAAGTAATTTCTCTCGGATGGTTTAAATATTTTATTTGCTTTCTAACTCTATGGCGTTGTTTGAGTCAAAATAGAGCCGTGTGATAGACATTGCTACGTTGCATTAGCCACATTGCTTCGGTGATAGCCTGATAGTCAAAATGACTGGCTTCACAGAAGTAACAATTAATTTACTGATTGTCTATGCAGT